GAGAACCTGGTGGTGGCGGGCGCCAATGTGCTGAAGGTGTACCGGGTGGCGCCCAACGTGGAGGCGGGCCAGCGTCAGAAGCTGAACCCCAGCGAGATGCGGCTGGCGCCCAAGATGCGGCTGGAGTGCCTGGCCACGTACAACCTGTACGGCAACGTGATGTCGTTGCAGTGCGTCTCCTTGGCGGGAGCCATGCGGGATGCCCTGCTGATCAGCTTCAAGGACGCCAAGTTGTCCGTACTGCAGCACGATCCGGATACGTATGCCCTGAAGACCCTCTCGCTTCACTATTTCGAGGAGGACGACATTCGTGGCGGCTGGACGGGCCGGTACTTTGTGCCCACAGTCCGCGTGGATCCGGATTCCAGGTGCGCCGTCATGTTGGTCTACGGCAAGCGACTGGTGGTGCTGCCCTTTCGCAAGGACAACAGCCTGGACGAGATCGAGCTGGCGGACGTGAAGCCAATCAAAAAGGCTCCCACAGCCATGGTCAGCAGGACCCCCATAATGGCCTCGTATTTGATAGCACTGCGGGATCTGGACGAAAAGATCGACAATGTGCTGGACATACAGTTCCTGCACGGCTACTACGAGCCCACGCTGCTCATTCTCTACGAGCCGGTGCGCACCTGTCCGGGAAGGATCAAGGTGCGCTCGGATACCTGTGTTCTGGTGGCCATTTCGTTGAATATCCAGCAGCGAGTGCATCCGATTATATGGACCGTCAACAGTTTGCCGTTCGACTGTTTGCAGGTAGGGAAGAGAACTCTAGGAATATGATTTTCTTTATAAAAATATTCTAATGTGCTCTTCATTTTCCAGGTTTATCCCATTCAGAAACCCATTGGTGGCTGTCTGGTAATGACCGTCAATGCCGTGATCTATCTCAACCAGAGCGTTCCTCCATATGGCGTCAGTTTGAACAGTTCAGCCGACAACAGCACTGCGTTCCCGCTTAAGCCACAGGATGGAGTGCGAATTAGTTTGGACTGTGCCAACTTCGCTTTCATTGATGTGGACAAGCTGGTGATATCGCTGCGGACTGGAGATCTCTACGTGCTCACTCTTTGCGTGGACTCGATGAGAACGGTGAGGAACTTCCATTTCCACAAAGCAGCGGCCAGTGTGCTGACAAGTTGCATCTGCGTCCTGCACTCGGAATACATCTTCCTGGGATCGCGTCTCGGCAATTCCCTGCTGCTGCACTTTACAGAGGAGGATCAGAGCACGGTAATTACTTTGGATGATGTAGAGCAGCAGGCAGAGCAGCAGCAGCGCAATCTACAGGATGAGGATCAGAATGTAGAGGAGATTTTCGATGTTGACCAAATGGAAATGGTACCCACCCAAGCCAAATCGCGTCGCATTGAGGATGAAGAACTGGAGGTACGTAAAATATCTAATTAGCTTCTTGAAATGCAGAATTTCTACAAATGTTCCCTTCATTTTACAGGTGTACGGCTTGGGAGCTAAGGCATCGGTTCTTCAGCTGCGCAAGTTTGTCTTTGAGGTTTGCGACAGTCTAATAAACGTGGCTCCCATCAACTATATGTGCGCCGGAGAAAGAGTAGAGTTCGAAGAGGATGGGGCCACATTGCGACCACATGCGGAATCTCTGCAGGATCTGAAGATCGAGCTGGTTGCTGCCACGGGTCATAGCAAAAACGGAGCTTTGTCGGTGTTTGTAAACTGCATCAATCCGCAGATCATCACAAGCTTTGAGCTTGACGGCTGCCTCGATGTGTGGACCGTGTTTGATGATGCCACCAAAAAGACCTCCCGGCATGATCAGCACGATTTTATGTTGCTTTCACAAAGGAACTCCACCTTGGTTTTGCAAACAGGACAGGAAATTAACGAGATCGAAAATACAGGTTTCACTGTTAACCAGCCGACCATATATGTCGGTAATCTTGGACAGCAGCGGTTTATTGTCCAGGTGAGTTTAAAACAGTGCTAATCAGATTTGTTGTGTATTTTTTAATTTTTGTGTTTCTTTATTTACCAGGTCACCACTCGTCACGTCAGGTTACTGCAAGGAACTCGTCTGATCCAGAATGTGCCCATCGATGTGGGCTCGCCAGTGGTGCAGGTGTCAATAGCAGATCCGTATGTCTGCCTGCGGGTGCTAAATGGTCAGGTAATCACACTGGCGCTGCGAGAAACACGTGGAACTCCGCGATTGGCTATCAACAAGCACACGATCAGCAGTTCCCCCGCCGTGGTTGCCATCTCCGCTTACAAAGATTTATCAGGATTATTCACAGTCAAGGGAGATGATATCAATCTCACGGGAAGCTCAAATAGTGGATTTGGCCACAGTTTTGGGGGCTACATGAAGGCGGAGCCCAACATGAAGGTGGAGGACGAAGAAGATTTGCTCTACGGCGACGCCGGAAGTGCTTTTAAGATGAATAGTATGGCGGATTTGGCCAAGCAATCCAAACAGAAGAACTCCGACTGGTGGCGCCGTCTCCTAGTGCAAGCCAAGCCCAGCTATTGGTTGGTGGTTGCACGCCAGAGTGGCACGTTGGAGATCTACTCCATGCCGGACATGAAGCTAGTGTATCTCGTAAACGATGTGGGCAATGGAGCCGTAGTGCTCACGGACGCCATGGAATTCGTACCCATTTCGCTGACCACACAAGAGAACTCCAAGGCAGGCATTGTCCAAGCTTGTATGCCCCAGCATGCCAACTCTCCATTGCCACTGGAGTTGAGTGTCATAGGCTTGGGTCTCAACGGAGAGAGACCTCTACTGATGGTGAGAACTCGAGTGGAGCTGCTTATATACCAGGTCTTCCGATATCCCAAGGGCCATCTGAAGATTCGCTTCCGCAAGCTGGAGCAACTGAATTTGTTGGACGAACAGCCGTCGCATATTGATTTGGATGAGAACGAAGAGCAGGAGGAGATAGAATCCTACCAAATGCAACCGAAGTATGTCCAAAAACTAAGACCTTTTGCCAACGTAGGAGGGCTTTCTGGCATTATGGTGTGTGGAGTCAATCCCTGCTTTGTCTTCCTAACATCCCGCGGAGAGCTTCGTATTCATCGGCTGCTGGGAAACGGAGATGTGCGTAGCTTTGCTGCCTTTAACAATGTGAATATACCCAATGGATTCTTGTACTTTGACACCACTTATGAGTTAAAGATCTCTGTGCTGCCCAGCTACCTGAGTTACGACTCTACGTGGCCGGTGAGAAAAGTTCCACTGAGATGTACACCAAGACAACTTGTTTACCACCGCGAGAACAGGGTTTACTGTTTGATAACTCAAACGGAGGAGCCTATGACCAAGTACTATCGGTTTAATGGAGAGGATAAGGAGCTGTCAGAGGAAAGTCGTGGCGAGCGGTTTATCTACCCCATTGGATCGCAGTTTGAAATGGTTTTGATATCACCAGAAACCTGGGAGATTGTGCCAGATGCATCGATTTCATTTGAACCCTGGGAGCATGTCACCGCATTTAAAATCGTTAAATTATCATACGAAGGTACTAGATCTGGTCTCAAAGAATACCTGTGCATTGGAACTAACTTTAACTACAGTGAAGATATTACCAGCAGAGGAAATATTCATATTTATGATATCATCGAGGTGGTTCCTGAGCCCGGAAAACCCATGACGAAATTTAAGCTAAAAGAAGTCTTTAAAAAGGAGCAGAAGGGACCCGTTTCGGCCATTTCAGATGTGCTGGGCTTCTTGGTCACTGGGCTGGGACAAAAGATCTATATTTGGCAGCTACGCGATGGAGATCTCATCGGCGTAGCTTTTATAGATACAAATATCTATGTGCACCAGATTATCACCGTGAAATCACTTATTTTCATCGCTGATGTTTACAAATCTATAAGTTTGCTGCGCTTCCAGGAGGAGTATCGCACTTTGTCGCTGGCATCGCGAGATTTTAATCCTCTCGAGGTGTATGGTATTGAATTCATGGTGGACAACTCGAATCTGGGTTTCCTGGTATCCGATGCTGAGCGCAATTTAATTGTCTACATGTACCAGCCAGAGGCCAGGGAATCTCTCGGTGGCCAGAAACTGCTTCGCAAGGCGGATTATCATCTGGGACAGGTGGTGAACACCATGTTCCGCGTGCAATGCCATCAAAAGGGACTTCATCAGCGCCAACCTTTCCTCTACGAAAACAAGCACTTTGTAGTTTATGGAACCCTAGATGGAGCTCTGGGATATTGCCTGCCCCTTCCCGAAAAAGTGTACAGGAGATTCCTTATGTTGCAAAACGTCCTCCTCTCTTACCAGGATCACCTTTGTGGCCTGAATCCCAAGGAATATCGCACTCTCAAATCCACCAAGAAGCAGGGTATCAACCCCTCACGCTGCGTCATTGACGGAGATTTAATATGGTCATATCGCCTAATGGCCAATTCGGAGCGCAATGAGGTGGCCAAGAAGATTGGCACGCGGACGGAGGAGATCCTGGGCGATTTGCTGGAAATCGAACGACTGTCCAGCGTTTTCTAGACATCCTATAGCGTCAAAGATGTAAAGTTTTAGTTGGTAGTTTTATCTGTAGCTTATATTGTATGTTACGAGTTTCTCAATTGTAATTCTAGTTTTGTAATCCAATCGAAGCCACAACAAAGTATTTTGTTAAGTAAACTTATAGCTTGTTATGATTTCGGCGGGCTGGATAATAATTTTGTGGGCGAACAGTAATCTTCCCTAATATTGTAGACTTTAAATTGCCAATATTTATCAAGTTTAAATATGGTAAAAATAAAAAACAGAAATTGTAATTGTTTTTAAATTTATTTTTTGAATACTAAATACAAGAAAAACTTTTCCTTATAAAAATGGTCAATGTTTTGATCTCTAGTTTTCAATTTCTAAAGAGATTCAGTAGTCTGGCCATCCTTGTGCTTCTTTAGTTTTATTACTATTTAAACACAGAAACTTTCCCCAATTAAGAGATCAAAGTTTAAGAAATTCAAAACCTTGCCCGAAAGTGAAAAAAAAACAATTGAAGACATTGGATTGGACGCTTTGTGGTGCGTCTTGCCTGCTTCACAGCTGGAGCTGATGGCTTTCTTTATGTATTGTATAATATATATAATGTATATGTATACTAGATTATTCATTGTATAAACTAACAACATCATCAGTATCATTATCAGTTAGTTAACTCAATGTGCAACAGCCAACGACAGCCGTACACTCGTCGTACGAAGAAAATACACATTTCCAATCGAAGATCATCCGAAAAAATGAAAGAAAACTTATAGGCAATATATAATTAAAGAAATTGCAAACTGTCTGCTTAGTTGGTACTTGGTAGTTGGTAGGTGGTAGGTGGTGCGTATGTGGTTTCATATGTGGTTTATATGGGTGGTTGGGTGTCTGTGGAAGGCGCTTCGTGTGTCCTTGTTTCGTTGAGCAACTAATTTAGTTTAGATAGCGAAAACAATCTTCAAGGCGGCTAGGCAACAGGCAAACAAACAAGTATGCGGATTACGAGCTGATATATTTATGTGTACGTAGTGGTGACTCCGAAATCCCAGCCATCCTGGCTAGCCCTCGATCTGGGATCGCAGGCGGGGACGTGGCAAGTCGCCAAACACAGCCTCGCCATGGACACTTTTGGTCAGCGCTTGGATGCTGGCCGCAATGTCGATGTTGTCCATTCCCTGATAAAGAAATCAATCGTTAGTTTCTTGTGTACTAAGGCTTTTTTAATGCTGATCTCACCTCTTCGCCACCAAGCGCATAGTTATTATTGTTGGCCGCAGCAGCTCTCTCGGCCAGCGTGGCGTTGGCTATCTCGATGGGCAGACTCTTGGCGAAGTTCATCAACTGCGCCTGGCTGGGGCGTCCACCTCTTCCTCCGCGCGTTGGTATCGAAATGGAGCTGTCCGGGTCGAGAGCATCTGTCAGTGGGGCAGAAATTGTGGTTACTAAATGCTATGCAAATAAGGATTTTATAGTAATCACCTTCAGCTTCGTCGGCAGCATCATCGTCCAACAAGCCATTTTGCTGGCTCATCTGCCGGAACGAAGTGTCGTGGTGCTCCTGCATATACATCAGGCCCCGAGGGTAGCTGGGCACTGGCACGGACTGAACTGGTAGCGGCGCCGGAGCATCTACATCCTCTAGGTCAAAGAGGCAGTCATCCGCGTCGTCGGCGGCACTGGATTGACCCCCGCCGTTGGTGGCCAACATCTGGGTGGGTGGGCCATTAGCTCCGCCGGTTGCCGATTGCTGCCGGAAGGTGGGACTGTTGCCCACGCTCATGGGCGTGGCTTCTGGGGTGGCGGGTGGTGTGTCAAAGTGCGACATCTTCCTGGCCACCGAGACACTCTGCTGCATTGGCTGCTGTTGCGGCTGCGCCTGCAATTGTTGCAGCGTAAGGAAGTTGGGCGGATGATTCAAGGTGGTGGTGGGTGTGGTGGGTCCACCATTCAATTCCCGCCGACTGCTGATTGTGTTCCTGCGCCTGGCAGTGGCACTCTGCGGCTGATTGGCAGCCACATCTAAGGCGGGGGGCATGGCACGGTCCAGCAGCTCCGAGGCCTGCTCGGACAACGCACGGATAAGTCTGAGTAGCAACGCACAGTCCTGATCCGACTTCTCTCGGAAACTGTTCAACAACTGGAACTGATTGCGCGTATACCGCTCGATTCGCTCGTTTGTCTCCAAAATCTCCTCCTGCAATCGAGCCTGCTGATGCGCTTGGATCATCCTCAGCCTCTGCAGCCTGGCATCTGTGGGGTTGGCGGACAGCGAACCAATGCTCATACTCGATGCAGAGTTGGATATTCCACTGGTTAGGGACTGGGAGTCACTGCCTGTTTGGTCCATGATCAACAGCTCGAAGGTCTCCGAGTAGGATTTGTTAGACTTTCGCTGGGCCAGCTCCTCGCTGCTGCTCAGCAGCGTGCAATTGATGAGGTAGAGCGTGGGCGTGGCTCCGGCCCCCGCCGTCAGTCGCTTGGCGCACAGCACCTCCTTGCAGTTGATGCACAGACTCAGCTGCCAGCTCTGGCCAGCGGCGTCCAGGGTGAGGCCAAACAGCAGGTCCCGCTGGTTGATCGAGGCCACGGTGAGGTCTGGAATGGGTCCATAGGCCTGCAAAAATAGGAACAATTAAAGATTACTGTTTGCTCGAGAAAATAAACAATCGATTCAATTATTTTAATAATTCCTTAATAATATAGGTATGTATGACCTCAAATAATATTTTAATACCTATCTACTGGTAGATGTATAGATAGATATACAGTATTAAAATTTCTAAGTATAAAGAAGATCATCTAACCGGCTAAAATTTTACAAGTTCGTACCAAAAAGTATATCCTAGTCTTATACATACATATGTGGTTTTGTAGCATGTTCCCCCTAATTTATTATTACTGGATTTTTTCAAGTCAACAAGTCGATAAGACCCTCAACACAGCCTGGTCAATGTCTGATAAAGGGGATTACCAATTTACCCCATTATTATCTGCAGTTCTGATCACCCCTGCAATGGCTTTCTTCGATATTTACCCAGTCAACAACCCCGCCGCACAGTAGTTCAAGTGCAAATTTGTCAATTATGTTCATTTCGAGTGCAGCACCCGATTGTCTGAAAACTTATCGGAAAACAAGAGACCGCTGATGAACATGAAAACAACAAACAATTAGTGCAATGGCAAAATGATGTTGGGGTGCACCAAAGACTGCTTGAATTATTCAGGGTGTCGTGGTGACAAACACAAGATGATGTGATGGGTAAACAAGTTCCCAATATCAAACAATCAATTGGAATAGTCTGTTTTGAAATGGCAAGATGGTGACCCCAAAAACGAGAAAGATACGACTGCCAATAAAATTCAAAAATAAACAAATGTTCATGATCAAAATTCTGCTCCAAAAATTACCTCACACAGCCGTCTACTATAAAAAACTAACCGCAACCCCCTCTTTAATTTATACAGATAAATTTCCCCATTTGTGCAGAATAATTCCGGCATGTTTGGGATCGTAGCACGTGTTTGCCGACTGACACAGGAGAGAAGACCACTTTTTATAGACGTGCTCGGTTAAATTTGACACTCGCGTCCAACACAATCAAGCAATATTCATATAACCCGGACAATAAACCACCCAAGGGGGCGGGGGTGAGGGGGCGGGACACTGGACACGAGTGCACAACAACCATTCACACACGTAGATACACAGAATTAAATTGAATTAACGTACGAAATGCAAACGTCAACAGAAATCAAATGACAATGTTGCCCGTCAGCTAAGCGCTTCAACAGCTCCTGGATTGTGTAGCATCGTTTTCCATATAACCGTCATCATAATTGTCAGGTGGGCAGAGGAAAAACAAATATATCATCTTGGAGATGAGGATCTAATATCATTTCGGTGATGCGGTCCATTCATTTTATGATCAATTAATTATGTCTTTATTATAAATAACTATTTTTGAATTTTGGGAATTTAATGAATTTTGCTTATAAATGTATTTAAAGAGTTTTAATGCCTGGTTCACTTAATTTATTCACTAGTTATAATTATAATATATATAACATAATTATGATTGTATACAGAAAGCTTGTATCTAACCAGAGTTTCGAGGTGCAGTTATAAGATAACATTTTACAAAACTTTTTTAATTCTTTAAGAAGAAACAGATCTTGAAAAATGATCAAGAAATGCATACTCTTTATATTTTATATTGTTTTATATCAAGAGTAATTGTAGATTTTTTAATAGTAATTATACTTTAAAAGAAACAGATCTTGAAAAATGATCAAGAAATGCATACTCTTTATATTTTATATTGTTTTATATCAAGAGTAATTGTAGATTATTTAAGAGTAATTATACTTTAAAAAGAAACAGATCTTGAAAAATGATCAAGAAATTCATAAGCTCTTTATATTTTATATTGTTTTATATTAAAAACTTCATGATTTTCTGACCAAAAATTAAATTATTTCCCCAATTCCTCCCACGCTTCTACTTATAAGTTACAAATATTAAACTAAACTTGGCAAGCAAATCAATTTCCGGCATTTCAAAACTGCAGCTGCATTCGTTCGTCTTCTTTTGAAAATAGTTTTTGCTTCCATTTTGGACAATAACAAGTTGCGGTCACACCCACTCAAAAAATATTGTTTTCAATGCAAATTCCCAACTTGTTTACACCCAGTGCGGTAATATCTAATCAGCCTCAGGCAGTCGGCGACAATAATTATATGAATGAAACAAAAAAGGCAGTAAAATGTGACACAGCAAATGCATTGTTGTCAAGTGTTTTGGCATTCATTTGTTATTATTGCTGCCAAACGCATAAACATATTTATGGGCTCAGGCCTATTTGCTCGGTTTAAAATTGCAGTTTTATGGCTGTTTTCGTAACCACAAGACTCGACTGACTTGTTGTTCTTGCTGCTAATTTGCTTCGCTTAAATACCCTCTAGTTGGGTTTTTGGGGGACTGTTCGATCGAAGAACAGGTAAGATAAGTGGTGATAGAGGAAAGATTGCATTTGCCACAATGATTTTTAATTTTAGATTTATGATTTTATCTGTTGAGGGCGGGTAATAAAGATTAGGACATTTTTCCATATATTGATATATTGGGTAGTTATATTTTGATTTTTAACATGAATAGTCAGAAATATCTAGGTATTGTATCTTGTATTTAACTGTTATTTCTTATATCAACACAGAGAGGAATATTCAAGTACACTGTTCTTGAGTTGGGAACATTCGTTCTTAAAAACCGTTTAAGTACATTTGGTATCAATGTATTCAATATTAGAACAAAATGGTTAAAAGAAAAAAGTTAAATTGAGCTTACTTAACATCTTTTGGATAAGTATCTACTACTGACTGGACTAATAGTTTATTTTTTGTGAAGTGAAAACATTTTCAACTTCAAAAATGTCGTTCTATGTTCAAGAACTCAAATGAGAACGTCAGAATATTCTCTGTGAAGGTAATGGTCTTTAAAACTAACCTCTTAACAAAGATGGTTTGTTGGATTAGACACTTTTCTGCCTTATCGTTATGATTCCAGAGTATCAACGTTATCGATCATTGCTAATAACCGTCCATCATTCATTCTTAATTTTTTAACGTTATTTACAGTGTTTATGGCCCGACTGGCTAAGCTTAAAGTGGGTGTTTTTGTTTACTCGGTTGTTTCGGCCCCGACCGGCTGACCTTATCAGTTGGGTTGTAAAATCTTGAGGGGCTCTGCCTAACTCCCATCAAATCCATCCATCCATCCTGGATACTTGCATCGATTTACCTTCTTTTTTACCCTTTCGCGCCCAACATTTTGTAAGAACTTGCACACACATCCCTCGCCATTCGCAATCTGCCAAATGTCAACGACTTTTCTCAGTGACTTTCAGACTGCAATGACAACAATTGAAGGCAATAGCCGTCGTCGTCACTTCATTGGGTTGGTTGCTTAATTAACCTAACTGGCTGTTCGAATTATCGGTTCTTGCTTAATTGAAATTAAATGTCTGTGCGCGCTGTCCTGCTAATTATGTTGTGGCGCCACCTAGCGTCCGGAACCAGTGGCAGTTAGCTAATTAAATAACCGTTTACGTTCGACTTTGACGTATGACCGTTTGTTTTATGGCCCAGAGCCCCGTCATTTGATTAATTGTAATCGCCTCTTGTGGCCGAAAAACAAAAGCAAAAAAAAAGTAAACCACGTAAATAATAATAAATAAAACATGGCGTGTTCTTGTTGGGGGAGCTGCTTCTGAAAGAGATGGGAATTGGCCGGCAGAATGAGAGGCAAAATCGCCAGAGGAAACGCGCCGAGGAGCACGTAATTCAGCCGCACACGCTCTTCGCATATCGGAAATCAATATAAATCGTTTTAATTGAAATGCGACATTTAAATAATGTATGCAATCTAGACGGAATCAATTGCAGTTGTGCCAACTGTCGAAATCGTTGTCAAAATGTCAACGGATCTCTTAATATGCATGGTGGTGTATCTAAAATAAAACACCAACTTAAATACAAATTAATTTATTTTATTAATTTGGTTTCGATATTTCGTCATACTCTTTATTTGTGTAAATAAAACTCAAACGGATCTGTTTACCTGACTTGTTTGTAAACACATATAATCGTATGGAACCGCATAATTTGGCCATAAAGTCGACCATAACTTGAGAGTTATGTTCTGGCAATCTTGGCCAGGAAATAGAAGTGCAGTATTATGGACCTCTCAAGTGCCCCGGCTGTTTAGTTATGCTGTAAAATTATTAACGACGACTGTTAAAGCTTTTTGCTATCATCAAAACTGTTGCGCACTTGAACTGCCTCTGCCTGTCTGTGTTTCTATTTGATTTTTTCATTTTCATTTAGATTTTCTGTCTGGGCCCCCGGCTAAAAACAATTGAAATTCATATCAGAATGAAAGTGTCTGGCAATGCAGATCCCCAACAGCCGGCTTATGCAACCAGAACGATTCCCATAAAACAAGCAACTTTGCGGCAGAATATGTATGTAATAATTTTTCGCATTTTGCACATTGCTGCATAATTAATTTGTTGTTGTTCGAGGCGATTGTATAGTGTAATTGATTGCCCGGCATTAATTAAGCTCGTGGCTCGACACTCGATGTGTCTAATGGGTCTACTTAGGGTCTGCTGTCAACCTCCCCTGGGTCCCTACTTTCCCCTATCATTTTCTACTTGCTTTTCATTTTGCATATCGAATCGCTTTGCTGTTGACTTGGTGAAAAACAAACAAACACATTAAGCTGTGTCCAAAGGTAAAAGTGAGCTGTTGATGACACATAAAAGAAAATATTTTCGCTTTTTAATCGCCCTGATACAGTTGTACGTGCACATGTAAATGCAGATATGATAAACAAATAGTTTGTATCTTTTAAAATGTTGTTTTAATTCTTGTTATCATGAGTGAGATTATATTAAGATAATTTTTATCATTTTATCTTCTGTTGTGGAATTGTAATTCTGATATCATAGTCAAAATTTATTTTATATTATTCTTTCAAAATTATTATAAAATCACACTTTTAAGCCTACAAAACGTGTTCATACAGAGGGGAAATGTCAGCGAGGGGGCATTAAC